TCGATCCGCAGCCCGATACGCTAATTACTAGGCCACTCCTATCCAATTTCAAGGAAGAGACATACAAACTATTAAAATCATAAATAATATTCAACGTTAAACTGGTACACAATTAAAAATATTTTATTTAGGCCTATCTATGGCCTAAATAAAATGTTTTTAATTGTGTAACAGTTTAACGTTGAATATTATTTATGATTTTAATAGTTTGTATGTCTCTTTCTTGAAATTGGATCAGAGTGGCCTTGTAATTAGCGTATCGGGCTGCGGATCGACGTTCCAGGGTTCGATATATGATACCATTGCTCTTACTAAGCATTTTCCGCCATGGACGCGTTATAAAAGTTTCAGTTAATTCCGATTTTTAGTTCAAAGAATCAGACAAAGCCCTTGTGGCGCCGGTTGTTGATGACTGGCTACCTTCCCTCTGGTCAACTAGTTCGAAATGAGAGATGGCTAAACCTGAACTTTAGTGACCAGACTCATTGTACAAAGTTTAAAAGTAATATTGTTAGTCAGACTACCTGAAAAACAAAGGTTCAAAGTAATGTTTTATTCATAAGGGCGTCATTTTTTTTTGGTGGTGACAAGGGCGTCTGCCCCCTCAAGCTCGGAAAGAGGTACCAAATGGCAGTTTCTCTGAGACGCTTCTCGTCAGATCGGATCAACATATAGTGTAGGACCCTCAGATGAATTGGGAGCCCACGCGAGATCAGCCTTTTTTACCTCCCCTTCCTACATTTTTGAAATGACGCTCCTTGTTAGTCAGATTATCAGTAGGAAAAATGTTCAGAGTTATATTATTAGTCAGATTCTGTATGCAGTCAATGTGTGGTCAGACTAACTATATATGAAGTTTGTTTGTAATTATTTATGAAAGTAGTCGTGGAAAAAGAGCTGTTTTCAAACATATATTACATACTATTCACAAAACATTCAAGTTTGTGGATATTGTCATCAGTCAGCCTTTTGTATTTATTCCAGTTCTAAAGTTTCTGGTTTTCCAATTCAACAGCCAGTTGCTTCATTAACGTTGCAAATGTTTGAGCCAAACTGACGACATTTCTAAAGTATTAATATTGGTATTTCCTGCTATGGTGTGAGCTAAAATCTTCGTTCTTCCCTACCCCTGTTGTAAAGGCGTGGGAGGTCCGAATACTCGTGTCAGGTTAAAATTTCTGGAGAAAACATAGTACAGACTTGATAACACTTCTACGGGGGGACCACAAAAGTCGGTTACCGTAGTTTAAATCTGTATACGTATCTACAGGGTTCCCCAAAAAATCTAGAACCACAAATTATTTGCATCTTATCTTATTTTCAGATACGTGACTAATTATGGTGCTGTCAAAGCGGGAGAAGGTCGAGTTAATCCTACTGTTAATCCAAACTTGTTTCGAATTACAAGAACAGCATGTGGAACACACACTGTAAAATCCGTTAAAGTGCCTATGGTTTTAGACTTTTCGGAAACCTGTACAATATACTCAAAATGACAACCTTCAAAATCTATATAATACTGAAGGCACTCAATATTTAGTTCTACAATCATCTAAAAAAAACATCTGTGAAGAAACAATGAAATATTTTTTTTTTTAATTTCCACGATCCTATAATGGGGACAGACTTTTTTTTTGACAGGGACCTGGCATTGTCTAGTGATATGGCGCTCGACTCGCAATCTGTGGATCGTGGGTTCGAATCCCTTTCACCGAACATTAACTGCGTTCCCTCTAATCTATCATTGCTAAAGGTAATTCTGGACCAGCTTTGGAAACGATTGAGAATGAGATAAAAACATTTTGAACGAGGTGTAAATTGGCCATATTTATTCATTTATTGAAAGTCGGTTTCGGAGAAGAAGAAAAAAAACACACAATTAATTACGCTTACGTTAGATCGTGATATTATTTCTATTTGTATTTAAGTCATCGTTAGACTTAACCCAACATCGTAAGTTTTAATGTAGAAAAGGGTTTTATGACATACACTTACTAAGTTAACCGTAGCTTCTATCTGTAAAGTTTTAAACTCATGCTTAAGTTCTTTCTCAGGGGAGGGACAGTAAATTTGTTTCAGGATTTTGAGGAAAAGCTACAAACTGGTAGATTACCGGACAAGTAGCTAGTCAACTGCGCTCACCTCTAACTTCAAAGTTACTCTTGTTTGTTTTAGAGCAAAGCCACATTGAGCTATCTGCTACGTCCACAGACAGGAATCAAACCCCAAATTTTAGCACTGTAAGTCCGTAAACTTAGCGCTGTCCCGCCGGGGGACAGATACTCTTGTGTGATCAAATAGTAGGTTTTGGCCGTCGCACTTAGAGCGCATCTAGACCACAAAATGCAGAGCGCGTTTGTGCGACAAAGTCCCGCGAACCATGAACTCTCGGATGTACAGTCCAAGCACCCTAACCACTAGGCCGAGCCCGACTTGCAAAGCGAAGTCAATTAGTGAGAAAGCACAATTTTTTCATAGCTTCAAGACAAACAGGCGTTTACTTTATGCTGTATTGATAACTATAAGTTGTTTATTAATTTTCTTAGACGTACAGATGAACCAAATAACCAAACTGTTATCCTCGAACTACCTAAAAGCAACTGTCAAGTGTTATCTTATTTTGTTACGCTTTCTGTAACAACCCATTAATTGAAGTACTTTAAGTGGTTTCTCGGTGTTCTTGAACCGAAGTGTAGAATTACACGCATGTCTGATAGAGTTTTTCTTTTTAAATACATCTTCTGTAGGCTCAGAAACTGGAGGATGGATCGGAATGGTGTCCTTCCGAATGAGTTGAAATCGAGAGGTGTAAGTTAACATCAGATCAGAAGTTTGTAGTTTTATACTCGACATATTATACCAGAAACTTCTGTCTTGTAATTAAATAATAATTAGCCAAACATTTTCGAGTTATTTGCTATTTATATGTACCGATTAGTATCGATGTTGGTTCTGTACATTAATCGTGTTGTACATTTTAACTATTTATATGTACCAAACCAACATGATACTAAGTGTACATTATGTACAACATGACGATTGACTATCTGTATGTACATATCTCGAAGGTAAACCAGCCCGACGTCCTGCCTAATTATCCCTACAGAGATGACGCTCTAGCAATCTATTATGCAATTCACAGATATGTATCGAAAATCGTAAAGTATTACTATGGTAAGTCGTATTCTGTTCAGTCTTCAATGAAACCTTTAAGCCTGCTATTGCTAACTTGTGTCTTTATAATAAGAACATATATCAAACTTGAGTTGCGGTATGACCAATATAAACGGATTTTACTATTTTTTTTTTACTTGTTTATTTTAGAGCAAAGCCACGATGTGTCAACTGCGGGGGGGGGGGATCGAACCCCGGATTTTAGCGTCGTAAGTCGGTAGACACATCGCTGTCCCACCAAGGGACCAATAACTTAGACTCTCAAATTTTTCTCTCATTTTTTTTTCACAACATTCTAAAGATATTTTAAATAAAAACGGTTACTGTTCATCAGGCCATTAAGAACATATTTAATCATTGAATTGCTCATTTTATTTAACTCGGCGTCCTGAATGTTCTTTTACTTGTTTTGTGGTACAATTTGATTTGTTAATGTTTACTCCATTCAGTAACACTATAACACGTGTTTATTCATTGATATATCTTTCAGTATGAGCGTTTTTACTTTTCATAACATTCTGATTGAAGTATGTTGTCGTGATCTATAACAATAATATTAACATACACGATTGTTACTTAAGAATTACAACAATACTTTTAATTTAGTGTCTTGTGCTTCTCAACTTCAGATTCACCTGAGAAAATACAGCAAGACAGTGAACTCCAACAATGGAGAGCCGAACTGGTTAAAGACAGAAAGAATGGAGGAATTGGACTTCTGGTACGTGTGCTGTGGTCTTTTTGATAATTATAATTTTCTTTTTCTATAAAATAAATGAATAAATTCCTTGATACGAATTCCTTTCTTTCAGTAACTTTGAAAGACGAAATTAATATAACTGAACATTGAGAAAAGAAATATAGAATCAAAAACATTCCCCCCCCCCCCTTACGCATCGTAAAGGAACCTTTACATTTTAAATATAGATCCAAGAATTTTGTGACGTGCTATGGATGATTAAAAAAGTAATTAGCTTTGGTGCACTGGATTTCGCTGTATGTCGAAAATTGTTAAGACTGACTACTTTACTGTTTATTTGAGGGTTTGTTTGTTTGCAATTAAGCACAAAGCTACACAATGGACTATCTGTGCTCTGCCCACCACGGGTATCGAAACACGGTTTCTAGCGTTGTAAGTACGCAGACACACCACTGGGGGCTTATTTGAGGGCTAGTTTTCCCTAATTTTGAAAGAATAGATTATAGGGAAGGCAGCTAGTTAACACTACCCACCGTCAACTCTTGGGATACACTTTACCACCGAATAATGGAATTGGCCGTCACATTATAACGCCCTCACGGCTAAAAGAACGAGTATGCTCGGAGACGAAATTCGAACCTCAGATTGCTAGTCCAGTACCCTAACCACCAGAACACGCCAGACAAGTACCCTAACCGCCAGACTACACCAGACAAGTACCCTAACCACCAAAACCACGCCAGACAAGTACCCTAACCGCCAGACTACACCAGACAAGTACCCTAACCACCAGACCACACCAGACAAGTACCCTAACCACCAGACCACACCAGACAAGTACCCTTACCACCAGACTACACCAGACAAGTACCCTAACCACCAGACCACACCAGACAAGTACCCTAACCACTAAACCACGCCAGACAAGTACCCTAACCACCAGACCACACCAGACAAGTACCCTAACCACTAGGCACATTACTTTATTTTACTGAGTAAGCTGTGCAAGAATGTTTGGATTATAAACTTAACGTATAATATTTATTACTATACTACTTGAAAAATCATTTTTTTTCTAAACATTTGTTAACGTTTTACAATTCTTTAACGTGTGAAATCTCCTTAATTAATAAACACCTAGAAACGTATTTTATGAAACCTTCTACATTCGAACTTGCCATTGTTAATGTGTCTAAAAACGTATCAACTATTGTTTGTTTGTTTGTAATTAAGCACAAAGCTACACAATGGGTTATCTGTGCTCTGCCCACCACGGGTATCGAAACCCGGATTCTAGCGTTGTAAGTCCGCTGACATACCGCTGTGCCACTGGGGGGCCGTATCGACTATTACTGTAAATCTTATACATTCGTGTTAGCTGTTGTGATGGTCAAGAAACTGATAAACTTGGGATGGCGAAAGTGTTATCAACAAACCAACGATAGTATAAACGTTTAATAAAAAGGCGGGAAAGAAATTCTGATTAATAGCTTCCGGTTGGATAGCACTAGGTTCTCGGATTGACAACGTTAAAATCCGGGGTTCGATTCCCCGCGGTGGACACTCCTCAATGTGGCTTTGCTCTAATACAAACAAACAAATAATGTACTTGAAAATAAAGAAACAAATTGTACCCATCTCTACACTCACTTCATCGCTATGATCATATATATTCATATATCTTTCTAGGGTGTACCAGGGCGGTTTGGAATGTTCAGAACCGCGGAGGAGGTGGTGGACACTATGACAGTAATAATCACAACCTGCAGTGTAGGACATTCCGCAGCTAACTTTCAACAATATGAAGAATACAGTTTTCCTCCGAATTATCCAGGCATGTTGGTTGGTGAAATACCTCGTGATAAGGTATAGTAGATTGGAGGTTTATACAAATGTGGTTAACTTTCAACAATTCGCGGAGTATAGTTTACATATTTATATTCAAAATTTAATGAAATTACTTTATTATCAATATAGGTCAGTAAACTTGGCGTCAAAATGTACTTAATAAGTCAAGTTGTAACATTATAAGTTTTACTTTCATAACTTCAAAAGAAAATATTTAAATAACGTCTCGGTCTTCACTTCTTCGTATCACGTGACATTTTTTCGTCCCGTATTACCTATTTTAGGTATTTTTACTACCCCTACACGAGTTTAACATAAACTGTCCATATTGTAGATATTGTTAAGTTTACTATAAACTTCCAAATGTCGTGAAGATACGCCCACTAAGTGAAAAATTAGTGTGTATATTTTTAATATTTATATGATGGTTAAGTCATTTTCACCAACTTTGGAATTTCGTAAGCTGTATGTGTTTGGTGACAAATGGGAACACAAGCTAGGGCTAAAACTTTATATAACATAACATAATTTACTAAATATCGGAGCAACTGAGAAAGATTTGTTTTGTGAATTTGTTTCATCATCACGATATTTGCTTTCGTTTTACATAAAACAATAATTTAAATTTAAATACTGTACCTGTGGATATAACGTATCTCTTAAGTTCTGTGTGAAAAATAGCTATATTTTATTTATTCAAGGAAACTTCATAAATCTCAATGATTTTGGTTGAAAATATAACGAGTAACGTGTTTGTGAGCAGCCATAAAGGTTTAAAATAACCCTAACACTAAAGCGTCATTGTTGTTTTAGCCACGTGATGGTTAAATCTTATATTAATCTTAACAATGATTCGTTATTGTTCTTTTTTAGCCTCGTCATGAAAGTTAGATTTTATAGTAATCCTAACAATGGTCCGTTATTGTTGTTTTAGCCTCACGATGAAGGTTAAATGTCATAGTAACCCTAACATTGATATGTCATTGTTGTTTTAGCCTCCCTATAAAAGATAACAATTACGGATATGAAGCCAGAAACTCGCAATAAGAAAAAAACGTTTTAATGTTGTGAAAAACCTATGGAAGTTCAATGAAATTGTGATGAATCTTTGTCCTGCTTAAGCTATCTTTAAGTTTATCTAATGAAAATTATTTGATTGTCCTTCTTCTCAGGTCCCAAGAAATATCGTGTCGTATGTTCCAAGCAAGGACATTACACTTGACACTATGGTCATCACCAAATTGTTGAGTTCTGGTGGCACAAAACCTCTGGGACATTTTGAGGTGCAGTATCTATTTGACCCTGTCAGCGTTCGAGCAGCCGAAGAGTAAGTATACATAGACAGATTTACCCACAGATAACCAATCAAATAAATATTTAATTAGAGTTCGTGAGTGATTAAAAATAAGTTGGATTAAAGTTACCAGACACGTTACAGGACAATGTAAAGTACTTGACCCAATTACTTACAAAACTTAAAATCCTCCAAAGATGTGTTTTTTGTTTGTTTGTTTTTAAATTTCGCGCAAAGCTACACGAGGGCTGTCCCTAATTTTGCAGTGTAAGACTAGAGGGAAGGCAGCTAGTCATCACCACCCACCGCCAACTCTTGGGCTACTCTTTTACCAACGAATAGTGGGATTGACCGTCACATTATAACGCCCCCACGGCTGAAAGGGCGAGCATGTTTGGTGGGACAGGGATTCGAACCTGCGACCCTCAGATTGCGAGTCGAGTGCCTTAACCACCTGGCCATGCCGGGCCTCCAAAGATGTGGTAATTGAGTGTTTATAACGATCGAAATGAAACATAAGTTTTGAATTTTTTCTATAAAGCATTCTTCCTTGGTCCACGATGTAAAACAGACGTTGTTAATTGCCGTGGATTGAGTTACACGGTGTATAAGAGACATTGTTAATTGCCGAGGATTGAGTTACACGGTGTATAAGAGACATTGTTAATTGCCGTGGATTGAGTTACACGGTGTATAAGAGACATTGTTAATTACCGTGGATTGAGTTACACGGTGTATAAGGTTCTTTGGACTTTTGGTCTGGTCGAAGCTAATGGTCTGGTAAATTGAAAATATTTTTGGACTGTTCATATGGTCGAAACTAATGGTTCTTCTACATAGAAGACATTTTGGACTGTTCATATGGTCGAAACTAATGGTTCTTCTACATAGAAGACATTTTGAACTAGTTTAATCTGGTCGAAACTAATGGTTCTTCTACATAGAAGACATTTTGGACTGTTCATCTGGTTAAAACTAATGGCCTTTGTATACATTGAAGACATTTTGAACTAGTTTAATCTGGTCGAAACTAATGGTTCTTCTACATAGAAGACATTTTGAACTGTTCATCTGGTTGAAACTAATGGCCTTTGTATACATTGAAGACATTTTGAACTAGTCATCTGGTCGAAGCTATTGGTTCTTTTACATAGAAGACATTTTGGACTGTTCATCTGGTTAAAACTAATGGCCTTTGTATACATTGAAGACATTTTGAACTATTCATCTGGTCGAAGCTAATGGACTTGTAAATTGATGATACCTTAGACTGTTTGCCTGGTTGACACAAATCATCTTATAAACTGAGACATTAATATCATTGAACGAACCGATCATGACTGATGTTTATACTTTTTTTCTGAGAAACATAATTTTAATCGTACCAGTACAATTGAAATGTCAAACTTACATCACTAGAATATGGTGGGCGATTTCAAGAACTACATGATTCATAATTTAAACCAGCTCTTTCTACTTGAACCCAATAGTTTTCTCGCCCTCTGTGATCCACGATGCACAAAGTAAGCAGGATTTTCTTACTCGTATGTGTAAATTGCTGAATAATGGTTGTATTAACATGTTAATATCCTTACACTGCCCAAATATTACTCAGGGACGTGATAAAGTCTGAGAGCCATAACTGGTAGTTTGAGGTGGACGAGACAGTTCTTTCCTAACCCACACATAGCTAGTGATTTCCTTATTTAGGGTCTGTTGGGGGTGGTCTGCGTAGACAACACTTTCAAAAAACAAAAAAACTTGTGCTCTTAAAGCAGATGTGAGCAATTGACTTCGCTCACCACAAGCGCTCTATACCAAATTACCAAGACGAAGCCCAAGAAGCGGTTGAGGAAATGCATCAGACTTAACGAGTACAATACTGAGAGAAAAGTAATATCTTATTGCACACATCCTCAACATGACTTGTGTATTCTTGCTGGAATGGTTGACTTGTATAAAGTAAAATTCCTGTTTTTTTTTCTTTCTAGACATCTCTCGTATGTGTGTGTTTTGATGGCATTCAGGGGGAGGTGCGTAATATTAAAATTGTTTTCTAATCTGTCATAAAATTCATTTACATTCAATCGAGTATTTTAAAGAAAGATGATTTATTTTTCAGGTTTCGCCAAGAACTTCACGAAATTCATGAACAAATAAATAGAAGATGTGAATCCCAGGATTTTCCTTATCCTTGGTTGGATCCTTCCATTGTGCCCAACTCAATTAGTATTTAGTGTCCCTACTCCTGAAACTGGTCTTTAGTATCAGTGTTCCTACTCCTGAAACTGGTCTTTAGTATTAGTGTTCCTACTCGTGAAACTGGTCTTTAGTATTAGTGTTCCTACTCGTGAAACTGGTATTTAGTATCAGTGTTCTTACTCCTGAAACTGATCTTTAGTATTAGTGTTCCTACTCCTGAAACTGGTCTTTAGTATCAGTGTTTCTACTCCTGAAACTGGTCTTTAGTATTTAGTGTTCCTACTCCTGAAACTGGTATTTAGTATTAGTGTTCCTACTCCTGAAACTGGTCTTTAGTATTTAGTGTCCCTACTCCTGAAACTGGTCTTTAGTATTTAGTATCCCTACTCCTGAAGCTGGTCTTTAGTATTTAGTGTTCCTTCTCCTGAAACTGGTCTTTAGTATATAGTGTCCCTACTCCTGAAACTGGTATTTAGTGTCCCTAGTCCTGAAAGTAGATCTTCGATATCTAATAAAGTACACATACAGAGAGAGAAACATGTTGCTCTTCACGTGTCAAAAGTCAACCAGTTAAAACTTTTTTGTTATAAATCCCTGTTGATTTTTTTAGTTAATATCACTTTCGTTCACCTGTACATACGTTGTTACTGAAGATAACGAGGTCATTACGAATACATTATTTTCCAAACTTATTCAATCGAACTGAATAACAAGTACTATATTGAGATACTGATGGGTTTTTTTTTTGGCTTAAGAGCATCAATACCATTAACTTAACATTTTTGTGATACATCTTGAACTTTATCTCACGATATTATTGGTTTTCTTAGTGTAATATTTTATTTTAGAATCATGTAGACTTAGACGTTTTCAAACTGTGATCCATCAAATTAATATTGTTACCAACTGTCTTCCTAAAAATCAACAGTTTCGTGTCCAAGCTGTTTATTACTGACGAAAAGAAAGTTTGTTTTTATCTTATGTTTTTGTTGAAAGTGTGTTGTGGTTACCACTTTAATGTGTTATTGTATTTCTCTTAATTAGTTTCAAAAACGAATGATTGCGTAGATCCACATTATAGGTTCTACGTTCATGTAAAAATAAACAGACGTTTTCTTGTGACTTCTCATATAGTAATGAAGAACAGATTTATGCAGTCTGGGGATAATATTTGTTATATGTTGAAAATAAAGACATCAATTTGGATGATCATTTTTACGTCATAGGAACTTTACATAAATTAGGCTTAAATATGAAAAGTTTACATGGGAAACTACTAGAACTTTCGAGTAGGGTTGCCACTGTCCGAAACGTCATAATTAAAAAAGTAAATAAAACATATTTTCAATTTATTTTCGAAACTCTTTAACAAACGCACTTGGTATGTAAATTGTATTATTATCTACGTGTATTTTGTTGTTGTTGTTGTTGTGTAAAAATATTTTGTAGATGCTGTTTTAATTTTAGAAAAAAAATATTTGTTCACTGACTTTTGTACAGACGAGTCGAGGAGTTATTTTAGTTTTGTTAACCAAATAACAATTATTGCATTAGTCTTTTTTTTTTTTTAAAGATTGGTCAGTGTTTTGATTGAAACATCATTTTTCATTTTATCACTTACACTTTACACCTACTTGTATGTGTTTTTTTTTTTCTATTCTTAATTATCGTTGTTACTTTGACACGTGTGAACAATAATGTTTTTTAAAGAAACGCATGCGTAGGTTGTAGGATGACAACTTTAAACTGTCTCCCACCGTTTCAGAAAATAAAGACATGTTTTTAAAGTTGTTCGAAATTGATATCCGGCTTCTGTTTTACATCATCTAGTTGATGTCTTTATGGTTTATATTTTTTTTACGTTTACTTAAAGTTGTTCGAAATTGATATCCGGCTTCTGTTTTACATCATCTAGTTGATGTCTTTATGGTTTATATTTTTTTTTGTACGTTTACGTCCTATGTTATTCAAAAATTAATAACTTCGTAGAGAACAGTCATTAATTTGCTTTCTTCTCTTGTGCTTGTTAATGACTTTCAAGCTCTAGAAAAGAAGACTTTAATGTTATTCGTATCCATATTTATTCCTTTATCAACAGCCCCCCAGTGGCACGGCGGTAATGTCTGTGGACTTACAACGCTAGAATCCGGGTTTCGATACTCGTGGTGGGCAGAGCACAGATAGCCCATCGTGTAGCTTCGTGTTTAATTACAAACAAACAAATCTTTATCAATCATGAAAGTTATTGTAATAATTTACATCTTATTCCTCACATTTTCAAGTGTTGCTATTTTTGATAAATGTAGAATCGAATTTCCAAAATTTCTTTCATGCTTTTTTTAATACTAGTGGTTCTTTTTATTGCATGGAAAAAACATTTTACTATTAAATTAAATTAAATGAATTATATCTGCTTTTTTTTTATAAGTGTTTTTCCTCGAATGAATTAAATATCTAACGATTAACAAAAAGAGTACCAGATGCATGATGGGTAGATGAATGATGAAAATTAAGTTGAGTTTATCTGGAGGAAGAGTATTTTAAGTTTTTATGTAATTCTATTTTCGAAACTGCTAACTTTCATGGTTAAAAAAATACTGTTGGTGAACTGTAAAAACTATACAGATATATATATTTATTTAGGGGGGATATCGTAAACCAAGTTGACCAAAGATGTAAAACTTATAATGTCAGCTATATCTTATGTCAATCATCAACATAGAATGTCTTGTTTGTTTGTTTGTTGTAAAGAACAAAGCTATATAATGGGATATCTGTGCTCTACCTAACACGGGTATCGAAACCAGGTTTTAACGTTATAATCCCATTGACTTACGGCTGAGCCACTAGGGGCGCATAGAATGTTAAGGTTACCAAGATTGTTAAATACATAGAGAATTATGATATCTCATTGTATAAAATGTGTCCGCAATTCAAATAAATAAAAGGTTTTTTTCCAATGCATTATTTTGTGACCTAAAAATTACCCGAAAACAAACAATACAGTATTATCTTTTGGAATTTATTTTATTAGATATATATGTTGTTCAAAAGATGGCAATACGGTCGCAAATAAAATATAAATGTATTAGATTTTTGTTGTTTATTTACTGCAAAGCTACACAATGGGTTATCTACACTCTGTCCATCGCGGGGAATCGAGCCCTGGATTTATGGCTTGTTAGTCCGTGAACTCACGGCTTATCTACGGGGGGGGGGACAAATATATCAGACGGATAATATAAATACACGTGTAAGTTATTCCGAAATACAGGAGATTCAATAGGAGTCGGTTGGCAAAGAAAAGTCGAAAGGATGGTTACAATAAAGATTTATTCAACCGAATTCTCAGCTTTTAGAGAAAATTTAACAACTGAGACTTGAACAAATTAGCGGACTGAAAATAAATGAAACTGAAACGTAACTGAAGTAGACCTGGTGGTTGGAATTAAAACTAAGTGGTCACAAAACTGTACGAAGATCTCTCCAGTTTGGCTTGTTACTCTTAACACCAGACTAAATCTAACAGCAACAAATCAAAAAAATACATGTAGCCAAACACAGGGTACCACCCTCTATATCCCCTCCCCCACGACTGTAAGTCAACCTGATTATCGCCAACACACAGAAGACATAGCTTGTCTAAAGTGACAATAGTTGTGTGTGTGTGTGTGATAAATTACGTGTTATCTATGTACAAGTTCATGACTGAGCTTAGCTTAGGATTAGCTCTGGGAAAATTTTGAACTCTGCAGTTTAATTCAAACCTAAAACCGTACAAAGTATGGTTTATGATACCAGTGTGATATTCTTGTCGAAAAGAAACTAACATATATATATATATGTATGTTTCAGCTTTCTTTTCACCAAAGTTAAAACTGAAAAGACAATCTGTGACGTAGAGGCCTAATGGCAATCCTTGATTGGCTGTACCCTCTACTGGGAACTGCAGTTTCACATATTCAAGGCTAATCAGCACCGCTTGGATCAGCAAACCAAAGAAATACAGTTACGTCTCATACAATAGCGGTGTTTATATAATATTTATGGAGTTTTTGAGCCCTACTTAAATCACTATACAGAAACCTAAATTAATTTAAGTGTGTGAATAATGTTGTGACATTGTGCCTAATCCACTTTTCGACATTATATAACAGACCAATTGGATAATAATTATATATATATATATATGTTAGAGATTTCTTCTTTACCAAAGGTAAAATTGTTGATTTCCAAAGGACACTCAAATAACCCATAAATATTAGAGACTAACATTGAAACACTTGATTAAGAAAATAAAATCTCTAGCTTGTGATATCCAAAGTCTCCTGCAGTTATGAATGGTTTCTCAGTATCTAAGACGAATGGTGCAAAGATTCACTACGCGAACACTGTTTGTCAAGAACCAAGGCTTATGAATAAGTCTTTAATTGCTTATGTACAAAGCCTGGCATATTAGACATATGTATAGAGACACACTGGAAACTTTATCATTCTTAACTTTGTTTAACGCAAACTGAAGTTTATTACGAGATATTGTTTGTATAAGAGTAACTAAAGTCGCGACCTATATCTCCAGAATGTAACTTTACTAATTCAATATTTCGCTATTATTGAATTTAGATTCAACTGTATTAGTGAACTGGTAGGAACTCGATAGCTCCCGATGAAGCTGTAATAGCGAAATATTGAGCTAATAAAGTTACATTCTGGAGATATAGGTCGTGATTTTATTTACAATCGAAACTTTGTTTTCTGAATAAGGAGAATAGTCTCTTGATGCCGATAGCATAGGATTTTAATAAGTATTGGCGGAGTTTGATCTTGAAAGTAGTTCCAAGCTGGTTCTTGACAAACAGTGTCCCAGTGTTCGCGTAGTGAGCCTTTGCACCATTCGTCTTAGATAACTTACTCTCAAGCAGACACCTCTCGTAGTCTTGACTACTTAATAACAATACACAGACAGACGCACCTCACGTAGTACTGACTACTTAAGGGCAAGATTAACCGTCTTGTACATGTAAACCTAATGACTGCTGTATTAATTAATGGTTCTAAACGTGAGTATCTACTCGGCTAATTATTATTGGTCGTTGATTTTTTATAAGGAAGGACTGACAACAGGAAGTGAAAAAATGTCTTAACTAGTGGCACCACACGATAATTTCTACCAATAACAGTTTCAATGCGGAGGGTGGGTTTCTTCACATTCTACAGCTATTGGCCAAGCCAAATGTAAACAAGTATGAACCAATCAGAATAAAATACAATCATAAACGTCTATTCCCACGAACCCTTATTTGTTGTTAACAAGACCAATAAATCTAAATCCATTTCTGGTGTCGATTTTATTTTCTCACACCTTTATATTATTTGACATGGAAAACGTGACTTTTTCCACATGGATTTGTCGTTTGTTACTAAGAAAAGATGTATCAAACATAAAATAAAGATTTCTGTAAAGTACACAAGTTGCATCTATATCACCCAACCTCCCTCATTGGCTCAGCGGCAAGGCTGAAGACTTATAACGCTGAAATCCAGGTTTCGATACCATTGGTGAGCACAACACAGAAGCTTAAGAAACAAAAAAGAATCACCAGAACTTTCTATCAGGTTCTACAATTTTCATCACGTGTGATAATATAAAGTCCACATACATAATGAAAAGCAAATATTTTAAATATTACCAAACATACCAGTGTAACCTTATAACACTGAGTGAATTAACAATAAAAGCGATTTATTTATTTTTATATTTGTATTCTGAAACAATATAAATATCACTTTATTTTGCAGACCTTAACATTAATCTGTTTTATAAGTTGGTCAACACGTATAGTGATAACACCGAAAGAATACAGGGCGTTCTAAAAGTCTGAAACAATAGACGCTTCAGCGAATTTTACAGTGTGTGTTCTACATGCTGTTCTTGTAATTCGAAACAAGTTTGGATTAACAGCAAGATTAACTCGACCTTCTCGTGCTTTGACAGCGCCATCATCAGTCACGTATCTGAAATTAAGGACAATCACCTGTGGTTCCAGACTTTTCGTACACCCGGTAGATGCAACTTTGTACTATGTATGTAGATCTAATTTGTTTATAGTAAATATTCAAAAATTCAAATCATTCGTAAAGTTAAAGAAAAGTATTCCCACTAGGTACCATGCCCATCTAGGGAGTTGGTGAGCACATGGTCTTCCACTGTTTCCCGTTGCTCTTATCATTTCTATAGTGGTAAGTCCTGGGTCGATCCTTCCCTTTGCGAATCTCCCCAGGTCCAGCTGACCCGACTGGTAGTATCTGGAAGGATCCCTTATTTGGAGTCACGAGTGAAGGCCAACGGCGGACCCAGCGGGAATCCGGTGGAGAAGGCGGAAGAGAGCTACGACCTCAGAAGACAACGGTTGCTTGCAAGCGGAGGATCTTCTGAGAGAAGAGATGGTAACCTCTTTTAAACTCACCCAACAGAAGACGACGGTTCTTGCAAGCTGATGATCT